CGTTTCTTCATGTTTTCTTTGTCTTGTGTTTCATAGACGGTTTTACGTTCATTCCAAACGACATTCGATTCACAAATAAAATTATCACTTTCAATTAATGATAAACGACAATCGTTGTTAACGAGAAGTGGTATTGGTGAACATAATTGTCCGTTCCAGAGAAATAGAATCGAGAAGCCAGCGAACAGTGAGATAGTTATTATGACTACTGTGGATCGAAGTTCCATCGATTGACAATGATTGATCGATTCAGATAATACTTAAATAGGAAAAATGCATTAATAGACTATAAAGATAGAAATTGAATCGCAATATACTGATATATACGGTTTCGTGAAAGTCTACAGGAGAACTTATTAGCATCAGCAAACATGTGCCGTAAAAGAAAAATTCTTCTCTCCGTTAAATTTAATCCAAATAGCGTAATAACTCCACCTTGCATCGTTCTTTCTTAAATATTGATATAGCAATGATGAATAAAATTATGCATAAAAGGTAGGAAAAAGTCACATTTCAATAGAAATAGCTCATAAATACGACTAAGCCAATCAAAATACAGACCAGAAGATCTTTTTGCTATGCTTCAATTTCAGCACGATTCTATGAAAAGAAGTTTAGAAACAGATATATATTATTATTGTCTATCAAAAGGTTTGAATCTTATAAACCAATTGCTCATTCTTCACAAATATTTCTATAGATAACTGAATTTGCCTATAAACTATGTTGAAGTTCATTAAATCATTTGTCAGCTCATGATTTGACACAGAGACATGTGATAGTGTCATCAAGAAACATGCAGATGAATCTCTCACAGTAAGACTTGTCTTTCAAAAATCAATCGATTCTTTTCTCCATTAAGATTACCGACAAAACTTTTTGAATTCTCTTAAATGCAATATTTTTGCATTCTTGCTATGCTCACATTCTTTTCTTTACAGTCAGAATAATAGAACGATAAAACGAAAGGAGAATGTTTGTAATAGATTCATAAGCATATGCCTTTATCACAAAGAGTTGCTCGTATCCATCAATCACTTTTTTTTCTTCTCTACTCATGACATTGCGTTACAACGATTTTCTAAGACAATTTAACTCGATATACTTTTGAGTCTGCTATGATTATGTTGTGTGAGCTTTGAAGGACAAATAATTTTATGGATTCATTTTCCAATAGATTTTGACATTAAATTTTTTACTGAAGATTTAGAAGCCAAAACCTATATTTATAGAAAAAAAGACAGAATCGCTCTTTAGATGGTTTTGTTATTATTAAAGTAATCATTTTTAGAGCATAAATATGCATTTAACTATTTTTCTGCTTGTTTTTTTTCTCTTCATCATTACATATCTTTGTCTTGATGATTAATCATCTACCGGGAAAGAATAAGAATAACGGACAGTGCTGTAAATCAGTACTAAGCCAAAAAAAGAGCAAAACTTTGATTGCAATAGCACAACCTTAGAGTTGGCACGGTTGGTATTGAAAAATTTGTAACACTTAAAACACAGAATTCTTTGTTGATTTTTCAATGATGACAAAAAAAATTTTAGCATTTCATCGTATAATTTACCGCTAGAGAACGTCTATTTTGTAAATATATACTTTGCAATTAATATGATTATTGACTAAAATAGCTGATAAAGATATATTTGACTTACACAAGTGCTTGCAGCATGTCTAACCTTTATAATTTATTTCGATGATAAAAATACTACCGTTGAGTTTTGTTCGCTGATTTCAATTGGTCTCTAGCACTTTTATTTATTACACAATGGAAAAGTGCTGAACTGTTCACACAACTTATAGATAAATTATGATTCCGAAAAGACATATCATTATATCGTTTATACACTAGATGTGTAAAACATTCAAGTAGATGATAATCATATTTCAAATCGAAAAATGTCTTTAGCAAGAAAATTTTTCTTTCATATCTTGTCAATCTTCTACTAATGTCGCTAATCAATCAATATCATGATAATACTGTTGCACTTGAAAACAGCGAGGACTTTGACATCGTTATCTAAGAATAATATGCTTGTTATCAATATTTTTTGTCGTAACAGTTATTCTCCTCGTTTTCAGTGTCCGTTTTAATATGCCCAATTAAAAAATTTCTTAGAAAACAAAGATGTAATTATTGTTTAATCTTATGAAATAGATTAAGTTTTCGCTGTCATATGCTCTAACTCGTAAGCAATATAATGCATCGAAAGCCAATCAGAATATAAAGAACAATGATAGATAGCGCTCTTATCTGATAATGTTCGTTATTTATTTATTTATTTGTGTAACAATTATTTCTATTGCTTAATTTATTTTATCCATTCATTGTTCACTTCAATATCTAGTGATCTCTATCGCTTTAATAAACTACAGATTTATCGGTAATAAGAACGTTTTTATTTATTTTTTATGTTTCTCATCGATCGTTGGCATCATATTACAGTAAATCGCCTTCTTGCCTAAAGTTTATGAAATGACATTTGTCAGTTGATTGTACAACTACTGTTTTGTTTTTTTCTCTTTTCCGCCGCCTACACAAGTCATATGTATCGTTCTTTTTCTTTTATACTTGATATCCTTTTTATCTATTAAGATAAAACGAATGTAAAATGTCGAATTCAAATACGAGTCAAAGACGTTTATTTAAAGATTTACAAAAGATTCAAAGTGAAGAACTACCAGGTAAATTTAAAACTAAACATTTTTCTCGAGAGACAAAACATTTTCTCTTTTCAATTCGACTAGGCATCAATGCAACTCCTGTGGATAATGACATGCGTGTATGGAACGCTTTGATCGATGGACCATCTGATACTTGCTATGAAGATGGATTATTTACGCTTCGAATGGAATTCACAGGTATTGTCAAATTTGAATATTTGAACAGTCAAAAACATATGTTGTTATTAAATCTTCTAGATACTTATCCGTTGACACCGCCTAATGTTCGATTTACTTGTAAAATGTTTCATCCAAACGGTAAGTCGTGAGACACAAATGATGACTAAACTTGCAATAATAATATAACGAAGCCAAAAAAAAACAAACGATACTGATGAAGGTACAAGTTTTATCTACTCATGATACACAATACGATTTTGTTTAGTCTGTTCATTGTTCTGATGAAGATTCATTTGAGTATGTATCTGTAGGAAATAAACGATTAAATGTAATTGCACTCGACAGAAAAAATAAATGAATGATGATTGCGGATCATTTCTCTACTTTCGATTACTGCTTGCAATAACAATGCCTATTGCTTTCTATTGAAAATTTCTCTAAATTTGGATGATAGTTATTTATATGGATAGAAAAAAGTTTTTTGTTTTTGTAGTATAATTCGTTGATCTATCTATTTAACAATAATACTTTAGTCTATGCTGATGGTAGTATCTGTTTGGATATTTTACAACGAAATTGGAGTCCAACATATGATGTATGTGCTATATTAACATCAATTCGTTCGTTATTAAATGATCCGAATCCAAATTCGCCAGCAAATAACGAGGCAGCCAAATTGTTTTTAGAAAATCGACGATTATACGAGTCGAAAGTACGTAAATTAGTTGAAGAATCAATTATGGCCGATCAAATAATAAATGATTTAAAATTAACTGATGATAATGACGATGATGAGAAAAAGAAATCAATTGACAAATCGCCATCAGCAGCAGCAGCAGCAGCAAGTAATAATAATAATAATAATAATAATAATAATAATGACAGTAATAATAATAATACTAATCAAGAGGCTCAAGCAACAGCAGCATCGGCTTCATCATCAAATCCATGAAAGAGAAAACCATGAATAATCATCTTGTCCGATCTTTCTCGTTTATTGTATTTTTTTCTTCCTTTGCATCCTTAAAAAAATCTTTATCATATATACAAAATTTAAATATATGTATAGCAAAACTAAACATGATCTTCTTCTAGATGTAAATTAAATAATACGAAGAATGCAAAACACAATGAACTAAGCACGGCTTAGTCAATGATACGTCCACCAAAAGCACCTACACGTTCCGCAAACAATCAGTCAGCAAATGAGTCAATTCAATCATCGACAAATGTTCCAGATATAACATCATATATAGGAAAAATTTTAACGTTAAATCATCAACAAGTTATTGTTGAAGATATTCTTGGGCAAGGTGGTTTTGCTTTTGTTTTTCTTGTCCGTTCATTTAATCAACAACGATATGCGCTCAAACGTATGTACGTTAATAATCAACGTGATCTACATGTTTTTCAACGTGAAATAGCTATAGTAAAAGAATTTTCGTCACATTCAAATATTGTAAAATACGTTGATTCTTACGTACATCGTTTATCACCAACGAATATACAAACACGAAACTATTACACGACAAGAAGTGGCAGTGATGACAACGATGACGATGCTATTTATGAAATATTATTACTAACAGAATATTGTTCAAATGGGGCATTGATTGTAAGTAATCGAAAGGTTTACATCACAGTTGTTTTTCGATATCAACAAATAAAATTCTCCATGTTTTGGCTGTAAAAGGCGAAACAGTATTTCAATTATTTGGAAAGGTCATTGCTCTATCTACCATTATGAAATACTCCAAGACGATTTGCGTAAATTAGTGAGGAAAATTTCTCGTATCACTAATGAATATCATCAACATTCATATTGAAAAAAAAATCTTTTTAAATAAATGACCTTTAATGTTTCATACTGCTTTTGAATGTCAGGTCAACAATATTTATTTCGAAGCAAAATCTCTCATCCCTTTTGTACTTCAACTATTGAAATATGTACCACAGGTATCACTTCCTCAATTGGATTCTTTTTTCTAGAATCGTCTAAATGAACAACGCAATATTGGTGTAACATTAAATGAACACCAAATTCTACGCATATTTGCTGATATTTGTCGTGGCGTAAGTGCATGTCATTTTCGGCGCCCACAACCAATTTTACATCGGGATATTAAGTTGGAAAATGTTCTTATTGATTCTCGGCAAAACTATGTTCTATGTGATTTCGGTTCAGCTATTATGCTGCCACCTTCAACAACGAATGAACATCAACAATATCAAATCGATCAATTGACTACCAATGTTATTCAACAACTCGAAGAAGAAATTCAACGCTATACAACATTATGTTATCGTGCACCGGAAATGATTGATTTGTACAGTCGTAAACCGCTTACATTAAAAATTGATATTTGGGCTATGGGCTGTCTTTTATATAAACTTATGTATAACACAATGCCATTCGGTGATAGTGTGCTAGCGATACAAAATGGTACGTTTGTTATACCCGATGACATGGCGCAAAGTTATAGTCGAGAGTTGAATTTACTGGTTCGATATTTGTTAGAAATTGATATTGGCAAAAGACCGGATATATGGCAGGTAAGAAACTATTTTCTTTTTCGTTTCGTTTAAAAAGCCTCGATTTCTGCCGAAAATAAAATTCTGCGGGCGATGTGCTGTTGGATAAGCCGCCTTGGAAGAAAAAAAATCGAAGCTGTAATTCATTTCGTAATTATAGTTAATTCCTTATATAAACCAATAATATCGGAAAATTGTAATTTTCAATGTTTTTTCTCAAGCAAAAATTAAACATCCGGTGCCCACTTGATTATTAACCATTCATTTTCATGTTAATTCATATCAGTTTAGAAAATGATGTCATTGTTTTAATCCTTAATACATACTAAACAGAGTCGAATAGATTTTTTCAATCATAAATCATTCTGCTGTCTCTATCAGAGAAGAAAAATATCGATCATTGTTCTTTTACAAACATGTGAAAAACAAGAAATCTGTTTTTTCTTCTTCCCTAGACTTGATATATTTACTCTATTTGTTTCTATTAGGTGGCCTATATTACATACAAACTACTTGCTACGGAATGTCCTATTCCTAACCGATGCCAATCGAAAATTCCTACTTTAAGTGCAGTTACAATGCCATTAACTGACAGCGAATCTCGGCAACAACGAGCAGCAGCTTTAGCAAAAGCTAAATTAACTTTGAAAAATACAACCGATGAATCCTCAACCGTCGGCACAGCAGTGAATCCACGTGAACGTCCACGTGGTATGATGGCACCATCAACATCGCTAATAAACTTCGATCAAGTGAGTCAACGATCATCCAATATTGCTGCTATGCTACCTACATCGGCAAGTGCAACTCGATCCGAATCAGCAACTCAATTAATGTTCGACGATGATTTTTCACAAATTCCATCGCATGCAATTAGTTTGAATAATATCCCAACTGCAATATCAGCAGCAAAAAATGACACGCTCGTATCTCGTGCACGACCATCACCGCCCACCATGGCTTCACCATCGCCCGGTCTTGTTTTACAACAACAACAATTTTTTCCACCACCGCCTCCGCATTCCTCTAATACTCATCGGCGTAGTGCATCGCAAACCATGAGCCCAATGCAAAATCAGTCGTCTTTTCACAACGCCTCCTCCATTGATTCATCTAGTAGTGACGAAGCATCCGACGAAGCTTCTGAGCAATTAAGAACAAATTTAGATAAATTAAAATTTCATAATTATTCAAAAATTGATTCACAATCAAATTCGGATGATGATAAAATATTTACATCGATGTCTGACCATAATAGACCAATAGCGACAAAACAACAAGTAAGCTCTTGTCGAATTATAGACAGAATTTAAAGATATTAAGATATTTAAAATAACTTAACACTCTATTGACTGTTTAGAGAAACTCTAAATCACCAACAAAAGATAAATCAACCAGTCATCATCCATCAATGGAGGAGGCTAAAACCGAGATTCCATCTTTTACTAAAAACTTTACTGAATCATCTACAGAAAAATTTTTCCATCGAATTACAAACAACGGTTTTGATGGTACGTAAAATGAACTAGCTATTATTTTTAATTTGATTATTCTTTTTTTAATTTTGAATATTTAAAAGAAAACTTAACCAATCATTCGTCGACATCAAAATCTTCATTAAATAAAAATCAATTAAATTCATCTTTGATTGATAGTAATAATCCTTTTCATTGTGCACCTTTTCATCTTTCACCGTCCAATAAGCAATCATTAACTAATCTTAATCGAACAGCAGTACTTACTAATCCAAATACATGTGATCTGAACAGTATCGTTACTGGAAAACGAACAAGTGCCTTTGCTCCTTATCAAAAACGAACAATAAATACAGAAAATCACGGTAAATATGAAATAATCATTTTTTCAGAAAATATTTTCTCGTATTTATTTTAGTTATTGGCACAAAAACTAATACCGGTAACTCCATCGACAAAGTTTCTCATTCAGAATCTTTAGCGTGCAATGGTCTTGATAATCAAGCATCACTTTCAATTGACGTTTTCACTAATGCTCCTTTTAAAGCTAAAACAAAAACAAAACAATATTCAACAACGAATGATACAATATCACCATCGAATTCTCAATTCATTGATTTAAATGTACAAGAAAATTCTGATTCTAGTAGGAAAATAATCCTGACTGGCAATGAACCTCAGCAACACGGCTATGCGAATCTATCATTTAACGCTAATGTTGTCGATGAATATTTCTAATGGGTTGTTCCGGTGAATTGATATTATTTTATTTTTATTTTTATTGTGAGAGTTATATCCATTCCATTAAATTGTTCTTTCTTTTCACGCATATGCTTAGAACTAATAATGTTTATTTATTTTATAATTTTAGCAGAAAAAGAAAATTAACCGATGCAATATTTCCCAAGTTCTTCTATGTATCTGTAGAAATATATATTTCTATTTCTGTTTGTTTTACTATGGGAATTTTTTTATACTGCGTAGAGGTGTTTCAAATAAAAAATGAATTCAAGTGCTTTTAAAAACAAATTGTTTTTTGTTGGCTCATCAAACGGCCAATGAAATCTTACCATTAGAAGGAAGAAAAAACTGCATTACGTGCTAATAATTTTAATTATGAAAGGAACGAAGAGATTTTTTTCTCTTCTAATATCTTTATATACTGCTAATTGATTCTAGCAAGATGCAATTGCCATAGCATATTTTTTTTCCCTATCCGTTGTCATAGTAACGAAAACTCTTCACTGTTAACCTTTTCACAATTTACCTTTGATTGTTTGTGTCTAAATTGATCTTTTTCTGCTTGTTATTGTATGCGAATGATAATGTCATTTGTGAAATATTAAAATCGAGAAAACGATGTCTGATTACACAAATATTCAAAAGCAAGAAGCAAAGCAAGAGGAAGAGAATTTAAAATATCTTCCATTTAATATCCAATGGCTTGATTCCAGTTATCAGCAAACATGCCTTCCCGATAGTCCCTGGCAAAAAGTATAGAAATAAACGATCTTCTTTTATTTTGTTAAACAATAAAATTTTATTTAATGAAAGATTCTCGATGATATTGAGCCATCGATAGCTGATAAAGTCCGTCAACAATTCAGTAATCCGGAACGTCGTCAAATACTAATTGAACTACTCGGGAAATTATTCCAATGGAAATTATTTCGAACGGAACCTGATACACCTAGTATAATAGTCAGTCATTCTATTCTAGAGTGCAAGACAAAGAATGTTTTTCTCATATCTAGCTTCCACCTACTATGCCTGAAGAACATCGACGTAAACTTGAAAATGAAGCTAAATCATGGTTACAAATTCAAACACATAAATCAGCGCTTGAAATAGGCGCAGGTATGTAAATTCGAATTCCTATGTCGATATCTATAATTTTCTTCGTTTTTCAGCTGTGACTGAAGATGAAGAGTAAGTCTAGAAAATAACTCGATTTCCTACTAATAAGATTGATGTTTAGTATCAATCATTTATCGAATGATATGAAAAATTTTCTTGAATATACATATCAAATAGTACGTAAATCACTCGAACGATATTTATGTCAAGTACAACAAAAGGAACAACTTAAACACGAAGAACAAAAATCACAGGAAATAAGTAAGAAAAAAGCTCAAGATCAATTAACTGGTGGTACGAAACTTCGATCGATTTTACGAGATGCAAAGTTGAATTCAAAACAGTTGCCAATAATCGATGGTTTGTATAGCTTACTAAAAAGGTATCTACAATCAATTTACTGTTTTTTTTTTGTTTTAAAATAGAATTGCAATCTACGCCTTATCCGTTGTCATCACAGTATAGTGATATTGTATCAAGTTCAGTTGTTGCAATACTTAAGCGCGATCCACGACGTATTATATTCATCAGAGAGAAATTATTTGGCCAACAATTACCAATTTCACTCCGTCAATTTATTTGGACGGAATGTTTACTTCGTTTTGAGAAAAAGCCATTTGATTATGATCTTGTAAGATCGTTTGATGAATTTATTAAAAGAATTTTTCGGTGATTTTGTTTTAGAGTTTTGTCGAACTTCAAACAAGGCGTGAATTTGCTGCCGGTGTAACACGTGGTAAAACTGAACTGAAATTGATTAATCCGTCACATAGTCCAGTATCGAATTTGATCGAAAATGCGGTGATAGAAGTAGGTTATCTGCTATTTTAATATTTTAAAACAAAACTTAGACTCACTTCAAGCCTCAGCAATGGGAGAAAAACGAAGCACTAGCTGTACGCAAATTGTTTTTCGCATTTTTCACACCGAAGATATCATTTTATTCGGTTAAAGGTTGAATAAATACTTTAAATTTTTCTTTTAGACATATAGTAAAGTTCATGCTCTACATCCCTATCTGGAAGAACATCATCTTCGATTTACAATAAAAATTTTAAATGTTCTTTATACGTATAAAAAAGATTATGAACCCTATTTCATTTATTGGCTATTACCATTTCAATTATCATATCGTGATGAAAAAAATAAAGGTATTTGTATAATCAGATTTTTGCAGGTCTTGAGTGGGTGCGTTTCTTTGTCATAGATGAAGAAATTTATGTTATTGCCATGCATCTTGATCTATTTGTTCGTCATTGTTTCCCGAAATGGGGAAATGTGTTTACAATTGCAAGTAAAATAATGACAGATTTATCAACGACTGATGCAGAATTCTATGATCATTTAAAAACAATATCAAAAATACGAACAAAAGTTAATCCAAAGGTATAAATCAGTTATACTTGAAAGGGATGGTACATAAATTAGTTTCTTTTAGGATTTTGTTACGGAAATTATTTCATTAGAAAGTAAACAGAGTGGTAGTGCAACGCAGTATACAAAAGAACTGATGTCTGATCCGGTTATTTTTCTTCGCAAATGGATTGGTGAAGTAAGTTTTTTAATGAGTCCGAAACTCTGACATAAATATTGCTGAGAAATTTCATTCGAGAGTAGAGGAAAATTTAGTTGATGCTTTTTACAAGATAATTGGGCTATTTTCCTTGTCACAGGATCAAATTTCCCACCATATGACGTTTTTCACAGAGAAAAATATATTCTTAGTCTACACGATTCGAAATACATGTTTAGATGTTTTTTGGTATTCTAAATACGAACTCGGCTCTCTATCTATGGGATCAATTTTTTATGATTAAATGGAATACAACTTATATAGAACATGCCACGAAAGCAATACTTTATTTACTTCGTGATCGTTTTATGTATGCAACTGATTATGACCAATTGCGAAAAGTGTTTCTTGATGAACCCTGTCTTTTACATACGGCCGATGTTCAAGCAGCATTTGTTCATTTGGCTTTGAAAAATGCAGATCCAAAATATATACCGGCAATGAATCAACGTTTCTATCCATCCAAACCAATTATTCCACGCCTCGATGATAATCGACAAATTCCAAATAAGAAAAAAGCATATTTGGAAACCATTGGTATTAAAGATATTTCGCTGGCATTGGCTATACCTGCTAATCTTGCTATTGTATGCATTGCAATTAATTTCGAAAATAATTTACATTGACTTATTTAGACTGGAGGAACTCGACCAGAATTTGATATAAAATCAATCATAGTAGAAGTTCAAATTTATGGTGCTGGAGAAAAAATAGGCGATGTATCAACTGGATCATTGCCTGTACTTCGTATGTGAATTCTTTTTCCAATAAAACTGCTATCTGTTGTTTTTCTCTTTCGAAAACGAAATTAGGAGGAAAAGATTCAACAATAAATAATTGGCAAAGAATTATTGTTGATATACCAAATGATAAATTGGTGTTGCCAATTAAAGAAACTCGTCCATCACATATGCCTACTCGTATCCAAGCACTTGTTATTGTTCGACAACGAGTGAATAGTATGAGTTGCAAGATTCGTTTCTTTTACAAGGAATTAATTCTTTTTTTTTCTATAATTAGTCATGAGTTTGGTTACGATTGGCCATTGCCGTTTTCCACTTTATATTCCACAAAAAATTGGCAATTTAGATACATGGGATGTAACATTTGGACCTGTAACACGTGCTTTGCACGCCGGCACGCCTCCGGTTTCTATTGATATGATTCCAGAAGTGCCGAAAGCATTTGTTTCTGGTACGTAATCGGACTTCAGCAATATTTTGTATCTGGCAGCACAACATCATTAAATGAGAGATAACATCTGTAATGTTTTTTTTTATTTAGATAAAATTGGTCCTGGCTCATCGATATCTTTGGTTGTGTTTGACCCAAAAGCAGAGCAACATTTTAGCCAGTAAGTTCTATGGTAGATTGTATTTGTTATCTTGATGTTAATTACTAACTTCAATAGGGTTAATAGATCGGCAGAAACGCCGGCTAAATTTTTTCAGTGATTTTCATGTAAGATATTGCTCTTCATGCTCAACGATCTATGCATATTTGATAAAGAGATATTTAATTTTTTCTTGCCATTTCTATATCGAATTTATTAGCATGTAAATTTTGCATTGCACTACTGATTCTCATCTTTTTGTAGACATTACATTATTTATTCTCAAGTACCCATTTTTTGTTCTATTTCTAGGATGTGATTAAAACAATCGCCATATTCATTGTGCTTCCAAACAACATTTTTTTCTATAAAAGCTTTTGTTCTTTTCTTTACGTTTATCAAACTGCTAACATCATTGTGAAATCTTCGTGTCGGTTCTTGTATAGATGTTCTTAAAAATATTTTTTAATGTATGATTGCCTTTTTTTTATCATATTTAATCAAAAAGTATTATACCATTCATTCTTTCATCACTAGATGACCAATAGCTACAGAAGGCGACTCGTAGCGATTTTCAAATTATTTTTAAAACGATTGTGAAACGATGAGAAATGGAATTTCTTTCAACAGTGATATAGTAAATTAAAAAACCCATCGAATTAAAGCTTTCATCTTTCAAGAAATTAAAAATTTTTCAATGAGGCTCAATTGCTTTCTAATACCTCAATCATATAGAACTGTTTTCTAAAAACAAACACCTTGAAAAAAGAAAATCACTATCGCCTGAATTCATGATAATAAGCATAAGTTTATAGCAGCATTTTATGCAGAATGGTCATTATTGAAGATACAACAATCATCACATATATTTTTTTAATTTGCCTTTCTGTTCTCCAATCGATAAGAAAAGAAAAAGAATCATTGGTGGCCCGTAAATATCGAAGGAATAAAAAAGCAGAATGTCTTCACTAAATGTTGACCAAGTAAGCTAAAACGTTTTGCAATAACAGTTTTAAAAACCTTTTTAGAATTTGAGTAGTGTAGCTCATCTTCTCATAGATTTTACAGCTGGTGAGTGCTAGGAAAGTGTTGTGAAGCGCTCTATGGTATATTACATACTTTTTATTTTTTTATTTTTGGCTTGATCGCTTAAAACAATAACTGCCTATTGTAACTGCAGTGCATGGTTTTTTAGATTTCAGATTAAAAATTAAATATGGGTGTGAATATAATGTGTAGATCATAATCTAAACCTTTTTTCTCATCTGAAACTTACAGTTGCTCTGAATTTATGAGAAGAGACGCTGTTTTTAAGAGAACCATGTGTGTAACCAGTTCTTTTCTTTCTTTCTTTATTTGATGACATTTAGATGCAATTCTGTCTTTTTTTGATTCGGTGAGACAAAAATGTGCTTACATGCAACAAAAACGCTATTTACTTCATTTTTGCAAACCGATTTCATTGCTTTTCTATTGCAACGCAACATAGTCTCTTTTGTCCAATTGATTCGTTTTCATCTTTCACTTTTAAAACGTAGTTCGCAACGAGCTCGTTCACTGTATATCTGCACATGTGGCAGGCAGCTAGGAGAAAATACAGCATTGCAACAGGATGACTGATACATATAGCAGCTAGTCACATATTAAGCTTATCTCACAAATATGATCAGATAGTCTATTGATATTTGAAAGCTTGTGTAATTGTGTCAAGAACTATGTAACTGAAAATTCGGCAGTACCAGAGCTCCAATATAAAAAATAAAATGTCTGCTACAGGAAGCCTCGAGTTTGAGAGAAAGAGTGATGAATTCATAGTTTATTTGTGAATCATCCGATATAGGATAGAGATTGAATTCTTTGGTTTTCTTAGAACGATTGTTTCGGCGCACGTCAGGTATTTCTCTCAATGGAAATGTATAGTCATTATAAATAGCTATTTTTCATATCCCGCTTTAGATATTTTGACCATAACTTTAATATTAGCCTCTTGCAACGATCGCCATGGCAACTGGTGGTGAATCACAAGCTCATCGCAGTCGAGTTTCAGATGTTAACCAAGAGCCACTTAAAATGCTCTTGCCCATTCGTGGATACGATCGTGTGCCGTTAGTCACACTTGAGAAGGCCGTCGAACCACTTGTATCATTGTTACCTGATATTCAAGATTATGTCTACGTCGCTAAACAACGATGTGACGAAGAGCCCGCTGATGGTCTTAGCCAAGATGAATCAGCAGCTATCATGCTCTACTCAATGGAATGGACACCTCGAGATAAATGTCTCTACTACGTTCTCAATATTATACTACGATCCGAAGATAGACGTAAACTAGAATCATGGTTTCTCTACTTAAAACTTTTTCTAAGTGGACTCACTCGACTTCCAACAATTCGACGCTTTGTGTATCGAGGCGTCAAACTAGACCTGAGTAAACATTATAAAAAAGGCAAACTGATTGTTTGGTGGGCTTTTTCTTCTTGCACATCAACAGTAGAAGTGCTTCAACATGAAGATTTTTTGGGTCAAACTGGTGCTAGAACAATGTTTACCATCGAATGTGACACCGGAAAAGATATAAGTCAGCATTCTTATTTTCAGTCGGAGGAAGAAATTCTGCTTCCACCTGCAAGACAATTCGAAGTAGTTGCCTCTTTGCAAATGGGCCCTGATGTTCATGTAATACAATTGAAAGAAGTCAAACCTCCAATCGTACTTTTAGAGCCTGTATCATTAACTCCTCGTTCGAACAAATCCACATCTGGTAAGTATGATCATCTCTTTCACTCATTTATATTTGAGCATATGGAAGGTAATCAACTGATTCATTTCAAATAGTTGTGACAAACGATGATTTCTCTTTCAATCTCAGATAACTTCAACATGACAAAAGGTTTTACCTAAATAGACGATGAGGCATGGACGCAATTGTTTCGACTTCACGTTATATTCATTTAGTTGCTAAGCTAGTCGAAAAAGAAATGTGCAGCTTGATTAAGTTACTTCATCGAGGTCTGGAAGAGAGATACGTAATAAATTTTAACAAGAATTGAACCGTTCTCCTCTGTCAGCATTCATTATATCCTATTTAATATCTGAAATATTTTCATCAATGGTATTCAATCTCTTTACTCCAGTCAGGAATAAAATGGTAGCCTAGAAATGGAAGAAGTCTTAGTCGCAATGCTTTTTGGATCTCTGGAAACTAGAATAGCCTAGAGAAATTCAGTAGGATAGTCTCATGAGAAAGATTCAATTCGTTAGTCTCGTATGAAATCATTGAATTTGATCTATTTTCATGTTGATAATAACTATGTTCTGTTCAGAGGACGCAAAAAAAGACAAACCTCATACGGGTATCGATGATGTGAAGATCAAAGTTGAACAAATGAAAATTGTGCCAGAATCCACAGCTACAACTCCTAAGACAACAAGTAAGCGATGCTCAATACTGCAAATTTTAGTGCTACAAGAATAATAAAAAACAGGTATAGCTTTGAAGTGAAATCGATTGTGGCTACTGATATTCGGAGTAAGAAAAATAGTGCATTAAATCAGCCAGAAATCATCAAATTTATTCTTGTCTGCAAAATGATTGAATGCTCTACGAAAATATTTGAATATCCGAGAGGATGTGGGTTTTACTCAATATCACAGAATATACATTCAGGACCACACACTTATACCCACCTTGATCATGTCGTAATTTTACATTGATTTTCTTAATGTATACTTCATGTTTCTTCTTCTTTCAGATACACCAAAGGCAACCCAACCAAAGCCGGTTTCACTGATGTCGAATCCCACGCTTCAGTCACCGAAGTCAAGTATGTGCTTAGAATACGATAGAACATTATGTTGAGAAAAAACGACTTAATCAACCTCGCCGCTAGTATTGTTCTAAACTGTGCGTTATATCGATTCCCTTTAGAAAAATATAATGACACATCAAAGATAATCAGCCGAGATTATGTGTGAATTAAAAGTAGATGTTTTGCACATGAAACGCTTTGAATAGAATAAAAATTTCCGCAGGTAAATAGTCACCTGTTACCGACCAACGAAGCCAATTATTGAAGAGTTCACTTCTTTCTAACTGGCTACATTCTGGAGATGATCGGTATCCTCGCTTCCAACATAGCATTGTGAACATAAGAACCAATGATAAGGATTAAGTGTGTGCCACTCTTGAGAGCTTATGCAAAATTGATTAGATGGAAGATTACATTTTCTTTTTAATATGTGCGATACATCAGACTCGAGAAACTCTGAAGTCAGATTTCACAGTCTGAGCCTAGCAAAAAAAAGTTACGAAGAAAACTTTAGGAAATGCGTTACTATTTCATGATTGGAACTTCCTAGTATGATAAAATATCTACGCTCTTCCTCTTTTCCAAAAAGTTGCTTATTACCAGAAAAATTCCTTGTAGAACCGATAGAAATTGAAAATGATCCGAAAATTTTTATAAGTAAATAAATAGCTCAATACTCCAGAAAGTCGGTTAATCTATGGCGACTAGCAGAATATATACACTAGCACCCAAATAAACAAAAAAATGTCACCAATATTCTTTAAACAAAGCTTTCGAAATCATTGCGCATGATTTACAGAACTCGTGACATTTAATTGCTCTATATCTGAATCACAGTTGGATGCGTAATGTTTGATTACAAGTATTTTCAAACGAGAAACAACTATCGCATATATATCAAACTTAAATTCAATTGAAAGTTGAAATTTTCTATTTTCAACTGAATTCAAGTTTAAAGTTTGACACTACTGAACTATCGATAGTTCAAGTCTAAAGATTTCAGTTTATTATTGAGTATTTTATGTCACAGTAATAGAAGCATCTAATTGGCTTTGAACATTTAGCCAGATCATTTATAAACAAATAAATAGTTCATCAACCGAAACATTCATAAGTGCGAAAGAATATAAGTTATGAAAGGCGCACCGCTTTTTTCCAATGACTTTCGTATAATAAGACTTTTGCTATCTTCAATGACTTCGAATAGCATATGAAAAGCAGCAATGTTCGGACTTGCAAAAAAGAGAATACCGACACTATAAAACTTTCTTGAATTAGTCAAATTTCTAATACTTTGAAAAACTCTTGATCTGTACTATAATGCAGCTATTGAGCTGATGCAAATTGTAGTCCTTTTCATTCGGGATCTCTGAACATATCTTGATGACAATCAGAATTTTTTTCCAACTAAACTAAAATTTCCGTAAGATTCTCAGAATCTTAGTCAAGTTAAATAAAAATTTTCAGAAATGCTACTAGGATCTGCTAGTGTTGATTAAGTAGAATTCCTTCGAAAAATTTATTGCTGCGTCCGGTTTAGTTTGCGTACCAAATATTCCTGCAAACGCTAAATGGGCAGAAAAAGGAATCACTGTCGCTGGAGGCAATGGATCAGGCAATGCATTGAATCAACTCCACGGCCCTTCTGGTGTCTTTGTGGATAATGATCAAGTTGTTTACGTTGCTGACACCGATAATCATCGGATTGTAGAGTGGAAAGTTGGTACAACGAGTGGTCAAGTGATCGCCGGCGGAAACGGAAAAGGAAATAGAGCTGATCAACTTAACTCACCGTACGATGTGTTTGTCGACAAAGAGACCGATAGTCTCATTATCTCCGATACGCTGAACGGTCGAGTTGTACGGTGGCCTCGAGCCAATGGGACAATTGGAGAAACGATTATTGACAATATCTCTTGTGTCGGAGTGACTATGGATGATCACAGATCTCTTTACGTATCCGACTGGGTCAAGCATTTGGTGAGACAATATAATATGAGTAAAAAGACTGAGACAGTAGTGGCAGGTGATAATAGAGGAGGTGATCATCTCAATCAACTCAATACTAACACGTATGTATTTGTCGATCAAGATACTTCTATCTATGTTTCGGACAAAGATAATCACCGTGTGGTAAAGTGGACAAAGGGTGCGCAAGAAGGAACTATTGTTGCTGGTGGTCAAGGGAAAGGGAATGCGCTGACACAATTATCGAATCCGCATGCACTATTCGTTGATAAATTGGGTACAGTCTACATAGCGGATTATTGTAATAGCCGAGTAATGCGCTGGAGCAAAGGAGCAGCATCGGGCGATATGATTGTTGGTGGAACACAGTTGAGTACTCCAAGGGGATTATCATTCGACCAACATGGCAATCTGTATGTGGTTGACTGGGGGAATGATCGAGTTCAACGATTCTCAATTCAAAAGTAAATGTAACTGTTCGCCTTCTATTGATGCTTATCGAAGAATCAAATATTATTTCTCACTTTGCTTTTATGCATTCTCAGTGAACTTGTTTTTCATAAGGCTTATTATTTATGAGACCCCTTTCTGTCCATAACTTGACTTCCTTATGACTACACACACGTTCATATATTCATGGTTACATGTACAATCTGAACGGATCTACATAACATGCATGCGAATGACTGATAGTATACTCCAGTAACACTGATTAACGACTTTTCTTTCACTCAAACCAAACCAGTATTCACCAGAGCTCACTAAATGTCTCTCAGATATTTACTACAATATCCTACTATATGATTATATGTTAGGACATTGAACTTGTTACCCTAGTAGTAATATAGCACAATGAATTTGATCGGTATTATGACGCTGCAGTTGGATATGGCACTTTAACTTTAGTTTTAAAGTTACAGTGTCATTCCCCGTAGTGAATAGCAAAATAAAAATATTCGCATTATATACTGTAGCTTATTTATAATGTGTTTTATGAAAAAGGCATAGGTTTATAGCAATACTTCATGCAGAATCACAATTACAGAATATGTAGCCATTATCAGATATATTTTTTATTTTGTTCAATTTTCTCGGATCGATAAGAAAAGTTAAGAAGCAATAAAGAATCATGGCAGCTCATAAATATGGAGATGATATGAAACTAGCATGGCTTCACCAAATGTCGACTAAATAAGCTAAAACGTCTTGCAAGAAATTTAAAAAACACTGTCGAGCATTAGTAGTGTAACTCATCTCAGCGTGGATTTCACAAGTTTGAGGTTAAAGAAAACGCTATGAAGCGCTCTATATAATATTGCATACTTCTATTTCCTCTATTTTTTATTCGGTTACATAAAAAAATGGGAACATTATATTTGATCAGTGGAATAAATGAAATGATTAGTAATTAATCTTAAAGTGATCAGTTTATTATATATAATTACCAGTAAAAAAGATAAAATTGATTAGTAAAACATAGAAATTTGGGTGTGTGTGTGTGTGTGTGTGTGTGATTCTTCTGCTCATCTACACTACCCCTCAGAGCATTGTTGTAATTTTTTTATTCCATTTATTCCATCATTTCCTTCCAGAACCTCGTTGTCTGATATATCACTTTCATATTGAACAACTTGTACGACTTTCATCTTTTTTACTCGTTGATACTAAGCTGAATGTGAAAGAAGGAAGCTAAGAGTACATTTATATATGTTGTATTTATCAGCTGTACGATATATAGAGACCAAAAGAACAAATATGAAAAAAAGTAAATCACCTTGTAACACATTTTTATTTTTATACTAATCCTTTAACCTAATTTACTGGTTTTTAAATAATATATCAATAAATCGAAGTATATTAATAGCTGACCATACAAATAATGTACTGATCATTCAATTATTTTACTGATTTTATATTTATTTTGCTTACTGATCATTATACTTATTCTACTGATCGCTTAAATGATAGCCAAAAAAGATCAACAACTGCCTATTGTAACCTGAGTGAATATAGATTTGGATATGAAATGTAATTAGCTCAGAATCAGTCTTTTCTACATCCACACACTTGCACAAATAGAAATCAGATATTGCGAATATCATAAAAGTTGAGTTGAATTTGACCCTAACTATCAACCACATGCATAGGCTGCGATATGATATCCTTAAAACCTTCAAAACAGACTACAGTCCATATCCAAGAACAAAATCTAATGTAATATAAAGTATCTATGCTAGTAATAGATTTTCGGTAATAGGTTCGATTGAGTCTGACATCGACTCTTCGCGATATCTAATAACAAAGATAGTCATGATTTTGGATTCCGCATAAATATCGTGAAGCTAACGCGTTAGTGTATTATTTATCTGGGTTGTCTGCTATAATCATGCTAATTAGGACGCAAAGAAAGTCAAACGAAAGAAATCTAAGAAGGATTGAGATAGAAATCCATCGAAAAGGCGCTAATTTTCTTGATGATTGTTGTAAAATGAAAATTTCGCAATCTCCCATGAGTTTGAAAGGTGTACTAAAAGCGTCCGGTTCATTGCCAGAAATAGCATGCACTCTATTTTTGACACTGTTGTCACTCTATCACTCTATGGTTTGCTAACAGCAATCAAGTCAATGTAGAAAGAAAGTCATCGTTGTTTATAAGAGTTTATTCTTGCTGAATCCGGTGTCTCAAGGAAAACTTCGGTATTCGACTTCACTGTTAATTCTCTATCAGCGAATCTTCATGGAGAGTTCTAAGAAACATCCTGAGAAAGAGAACAATATAATTGTCGTCACTTTTGCGCTGATCAATGGTCTGGTGATATCGTCATGTTGATGCAAAAACTTTGAAAGTTCTGGATAATTGCAGTAGACAATAAGCGTAAGAGAAAGCTATCAGCTCCATTTTTGGAAATCTAACAAGAAATTCAAAACTTTTCGTAAAGAAAAACAGTCGTGTAAGCACAGAACAAATTCCGATGAGTTTTAAATACATTTTAAAAAGTGAAGGACTGAGAAGGAATTCTTCAAATCACTAATAGCTAATATGACGTCATTCAAAATCAACAGGAATTTTAGAAAATGCAACAAAATATTGTAAAGCTAACATTAATTTGAGAAAATTGCGTATATAAAAATATCCAAATATTTTTCCCAAGAATATATCCAAAGCAAGCATTTATTGTATCTTCGAAAATTTTCTTTCCATATCTCTTGCAGTGTTTATCCCGAATATTCCCGCAAATGCCAGATGGGCAGAAAAAGGAATCACCGTCGCAGGCGGTAATGGGTTCGGTAATGCATTGAATCAACTTAACGGGCCTTATGGCCTCTGTGTGGACGATGATCAAAATATTTATATCGCTGACACCAACAATCATCGTATTCTGCAGTGGAAGGCGGGTGCAGCGAATGGTCAAGTCGTAGCCGGTGGAAACGGACCAGGAAATGGAGCTGATCAACTAAATACGCCATTCGATATGATTATCGATAAAGAGATGGGCACCCTCATTATCTGCGATACGATGAACCGTCGAGTAGTGCGGTGGTCTCAAACGAATATGACTAGTGGAGAAACGATTATTGAGAATATCTGTTGTGTTGGATTAATGATGGATGATCGCAGATTTCTTTATATATCCGATTGGAACGATCATTCGGTGAGACAATACAGTGTAGGAAATACGACTGGGACAGCAGTAGCGGGTGGTAATGGAGCGGGTGACCATCTCAAACAACTAAACAGTAACATGTTCATTTTTGTCGATCAAGATAATTCTATTTACGTCTCAGACTATAAAAATGATCGGGTGGTAAAGTGGGCGAAGGGCGCGCACGAAGGAATTGTTGTGGCTGGTGGTCATGGGAAAGGGGATGCACTGACACAATTGTCGCATCCCCAGGGAGTGTTCGTTGATCAACTGGGTACAGTCTACGTAGTAGATTATTCTAATCATCGAGTGATGCGTTGGTGTAAAGGAGCGTCAGAGGGTACTATGATTATTGGTGGACAACAGTTGTGCGCTCCCAGGGGGATTTCATTCGATCAGCATGGTAATCTGTATTTGGCGGACTGGGGGAATAATCGAGTTCAACGATTCTCAATTCAAAAATAACTGTAATTGTTGTCTTTTTATTGATGCTTATCAAAGTAAATATTATTCCTCGATTTGCGTGCATGTATTTCCAGTGGATTCGTTTTTCATAAAGGTTCTTATCTATGAGACTCCTTTCTTTCGTTAACGTGGCTCCCGTGATGCTTTTTACCATTTCATATATTTATGGATGCGTGCTCATGTAATACGTACAGAACCCAACGAAAGAAAAGCAAGTCTCCCGTACTCTGCGAGTCAAATTTGTGGAAACACAATACCTACACTCATAAGCAATGAGGAGACTGATTTTTGCTTTTAATACGTATAAAGCATTATTAATTATGGATATTCGTAGAAATTCAACTAGATTCCACATGTTAATATGATTTACAAGCGATAATTACAGCTGAGATTTGCCCCTCTTCACCCTGTTTGTAAGATCTATCATCTATTATTTATGTTGCTTATAAGACTAGATTGTTTAGCTCGCATAGATCCATTTTTGTAAGTAATTCCGTAAGTGATTGGCGTATATATTAGAATTTGATTATTGGCTGTTTATTATACGTTCATTACCATAAAAACAAAAAAGAAGTAAAAGATGAAAAGAAACTGCTGCTATATTTTCATGTCAGTCCCAATCGGTTACAGTAGGTTTTATTTTCCTTGTTGATTACCATACAGAACATTTTGGGTTTTGACTGTTACCTTGACCGGGTGTACACCCGAATGCTCGATCAAATTCGTCGAAATTAGATGTTGGACCACGTATTCTACACAATAAAATAAAAATATTTTTACTTGAGAAAAACTGAATGAATCAATGGTAAGAACATGGTTAAAGTAACCCAAATTAACTTTAATATACTACATTACAACGAAATCATGCGATATAATTTTGAATACATCCAACATGCATAGTCAAGAAAAGCAAGCAGGGAAAAAATAATATTATTATCTGTACAGGTTTAACTACAAGAACTATCAAATTATTAACCTATTTATAAGACTAACAGATAAAACTTAGCTACTAATTCTTGAAAAATATTTCTTTTCCTACTTTGGATCCTAATAAAAATGAATATACCTGAACTCTCCAGGTGAATGAACACCTGTTAAAATTCTATTCAAAGCATTGGCATCAGTCATTTTTGTACACCAAATTTGTCCATAATTCATAAAAAACAATTGTTCATGCGAATACGCCTCTAAGCCAGGTAATTTTCTATCACTCTGTCCATTCATTGCAGCCCATTTTTGATAAGCCTACAAACATATACACATGCAAAATAAAGGAAATAAGGGTCTATACAAAATTATAAACTAAGGGAAACACAGCAAACACAAGCAAATACTATATCAAAAACAGGTATTTCATTTTTCATCTACCGATATTCATCGATTGCATGACCTTGCGATTGCTTTTCTAGCAATCGTTTCAGATAGCCTAGATAGTCGTTATATTGCCAATAACAACGAATTCGAGCATTCCATAGGAAGAAAAGTTGTTCATTCGAATAATTAGATAAACCAGGTAAACTTTTATCTTGTTGTTTTGCTGCTGCTTTTCTATAAGCCTATATGAACATAATTTTGATCTCAAGATTAGATCGACGACTGTTTTCTTTCACTATATTTTCTCAAAATAAATTCAATAGATAACTTACATAAAAGGATTCTTTTATTCCACCGTTATCAGCGATGTTTTCACCTTGAGTTTGATTTCCGTTTAACTGAAAATAATTCACATTGAAAACGGCTGAGAAAATTTTTTCAAATTATTACTGTTCGATTGATCTGAGTGACAGTATAGTTACTATATTGATCAACGATACATTTCTTACGATCAGTAAATTTGTCAATAGTTGCTGGAGTCCACCAAGATACACGATTGCCATCTTTATCGAACTGACGACCAGAATCATCAAAACCATGAGTAATCTCGTGCCCAATGACAACCCCGATACCTCAAATTTAACTTTCCATTCTACGAAATTTATTTCTTTGATTGAAACTTACCACCATAATTTAAATATCTAAAATAATGAAAAATAATTTCCTGTGCAAAATGAAACATTCGTAGACTTACTTGGGTGCGTCTTTATCGAAAAATGGTGATTGAAGAATAGCACCGGGAAAACCTAAAACGAAGAGAAATATAAAACGAAATCTTTCTCCGAATTCAAGAAAATAATGAAATGCACTGATGCCAACAATGAGTATTTTGTGCATCAATGGATTTACTTTATCGTTGCTTATGAAAGCAAACTGAACGGATTTGATATCGCGTTAAGAGTCAAAATATTTTTCTTACTAATTTGATTTTTCGATGGACTATAGAAAGCATTGACTGTAGTTGGCGGACTAGAACCCCACGCTTTTCGATCGACAGAATCACGAAGTGTTCGTAGACTTTCATTGGATTTGATTTGCAATACTTTTAAAAGATTGTTGATATGTGATGAGGTGAAAACATACTAAAAACATGGAGATTATTTTTTTTGATAGAAAAAGTACAAAAATATTTCTCACTTCTTTGTACATGTTTTCAAGTTCGGTCATATTTGTACTGCCTAAATATTCTGGATAACCAATTTTTTCATCGATTGCTAATGCCTATAGAAAGCAATTGAAAGCAATTTTAGAAACAACATATTTTTTTGTTACAACTTACTTTTTCTATGGATCTATTTTTTGAAATGTCATCCATCCAACTCGAATTCGTCAGCATTTCAATAAATGTACTTCGAATATTTTTAATCATTTCCATTGACTAATCAAAATAAAACATTTAAATAATTTACTTCTCATTCAACATGTAAAAAGAAACAAATCGATAGATCTGATAAGATGATTTTCGCAGTTAAAATAATCAATGATGAATCATGAACTGAAATATCTGTAAGAAGTTCTTGCGTACGATACCTGATCTCTAGCACTTTCATCAAAATATTGTTTTATATAAATTTTCGAAACAGCAAAACCCATATAATTATTAACCATGTTTCCACATGTTATTGAACGTGGACGTTGAGCAATTGTACCGCGAAAAACTTCATCAAATGGTTCTCTTATATTCCGAATACGTTTAGGCAAATCTGAGAGTCTATTCATTATAAAACGCCATACGATATAATTTTGCATAACACGCGGTGAAGCTTCATCAAGAATCGCCGATACATTACGTATAAAATCTAATTCACTCACTGATATAACATCACTATCATTCAATGGCACGTTCGATGAAGCATACATTTCTTGAATATAAGTTGTAAAATTAAACTAAATTTGCTAAGCGTAAGAACTTTTTTCGGCAGGAAAAATAAACGAATGCTTACATTGACATTCAACATTTGTGTGAGATTACCCATTATCGTACGAACTGTTTCATTTTGTCGAGCACGTTGTTCAGCTGGTGTCCAATGGTGCTAAGGATTTTTATTTATTTAGAACAAAAAGAAGAAAGAAAAACGTTGTACTTACGACTGAAATATTTTTTTCGAAATCGAAAATGTCTTTAGCATCGCTATCAATCATCGTTGTATCATTTGTGAAGGCCTTAGCTATGTCACGGATTAATCGGGTGTAAGCATTACTAAAATTTGTATTCATATAATTCGATCGTTGCTCAAGAGCAAGATCACTTTGATAAAGCTAATTACAGAGAGAGGAAAAAGGAAGATCATGAATATATTTTTTTCCATCATGTTTCTGTTTTTACTCGAATATAATTAATCGAAGAATTTTTATCATCAGTTGATGTACCAAAGCCAAATATAACATTTTGATTATATTCACGTAGTTTACTCATTAAATATGTTAAATTAAATGCGCCCTCATTCCATGATGAACCTTGTAAAATTGGCCAACCACCAAGTTCGTTATTCACAACATCAAGTAACGCCCGTTCGCCGTCTGTTGCTAAAGCCGCTTCATTAACGCATGAAGCATATAAACGACGAGCATTAATTACAGCTTGAGTGCCGTTCAAGTCACTCGGAATCGGCGAGGTTAATATGTCTAAATAAATATAAGCGAAACTATAATGAACTTCAATAACAGATAAACGAACGACCAAATCCTGACTCTAATTTTTGATCGGCGAAAATGTAAGATAATTCTTATTTATGCACCTAGTGAATATTAAACTAATGGCAAGAAATTTCAATAGATCTCAATCGATCTATAAAAATAAGTGTTGATTAAAGTCGATTATTTCTTCAGAATCGATTTTATTTCGATTGGATAATCCGCTAAACTCTTGTAGAACACAAACTGTCAAAATCATCTTTATCGTATATGCATGCAATCATGTATATTCAATCGATTCGCTTCTCTAAACAATTTCTTTCTTATATTTACCAACAACATTGGCATCTAATTGATTTCGCAGACCATTGAATGTATCTACAGATCCGGCTAAAAAAGACAAAATGATATATAAACAGTAAAACAAGGTAATCAATCAATTTACCATCATCGGGAATTCGATTCTTTTTTAACCATGTTCCACAAGCAAATTCAAAGAAATTTTCACATGGTTCAGCCTCTGTATCAATGCTTTGAAGTAAATAATTCGCTATTAAATTTCAGAAATAAACATTACAGTTGACTGTTTCTTTGCATAGAACTCACCCGCTTTAACACAATATGGAGTTAAACATATGTTATTTACACTTGGCGCTAAGAGAAACCGCATAAAATCGTGAATAGGACCAAACAAAAAAGAATACCTTGGGTAGTTGTGATAACCGAGGGATTTGTTGAAGTTGTTAAACTCGGGGAAGCTGTTGAAGTTGTCGGAGAAGACCCACTTTTGTTTCTTTCCACTCCAAATAGAGCAGCAAATACAATGGTTAATATAAGGAATATTCCCAGAAAGACGGCCAATACAGGTATTATTAGTTTGCTAGAATTTAAGAAAAAATATGAGTTCTATTAGAAAACCACAAAGATAATCTACATTGTTGCCATCGGAACACAATGCGCACCTTTTCGACTGATGATCATCTAGGAACGATTGATTAGGCATGTCAGAAGCTAACAGCTGATAGTTTTTCTATGTGTCTTGTTTTGTTTTTGTCAGAAAATATATCTAATGACATTTTTGTTTTCTTGTTCTTAACTTATATAAATATGTATACGCATCAATCAGAAACTTATAGACATCTGCATTTCGGATAACAAGAATTGCATTTCTTTTTCTAATCACAAGAACTTGTTTTTCTCAATATATAATAGGCAGCACATCGCGATTACGAACATTTTTCATGGTAATGTCAGCAAAATATATTCATGTTTGTCTATGTAAACATAGTCGGAACAATGAAGAAAAAATAAAGCATCTACAAACCTTGCCATAGTCTTGATTGCTCGAGCAAAATATAAGAAGTCAATATAAAACAAAATGTTCGATTTTTATAATTACAGCACACAGAAAGAAAGAAAGATAAATTTTAATGTCTACATCGTTATCATAAAAAAAGGACGTACCACAAAGCATAATCGTAAAACGAAACGACATCGATCTTTATGCAGATATTAGAAGTTACTAATGATTACGATTTAGATATTTAAAGTCAAACTTGTTTATGCCGTGTCGTCAAGTGACATTGAAAAAACTTCACTTTGATGACTCGATATTTTAGTAGTGAAATTCGTCCTCAGTTCTACTATCCCGTTGCTTATCATATTACATTTTATAGATGCAAAAGATTACAACATGATTTTTTTTGTATTAATCATTTGCATAGATTTAAGAGTTTCTACCTTTTTTTTTGCTTTGATATTTTCACGTCGACATTTCAATATTTTGACCTAAACTTCTCCGAATGATCTATATGCATTGTAGTGCATATGTGGTCTTAAAATATTGCCAATAGCCTTTAAAACCAGAGCTTCTCGTCAAAGGCTTATTATTTTCAAGGTGTGATTGAACTATTTCTTTTTTATATTATACAGAATTTTTTCTTCGTCGATCTTAGCAACTATCTGCATTTAATTTTATTGCTTTACGAAAAACTAGTAACGAGAAACACCCGATCGATGACAGATATTAGAGAGTTCTTTAAATCAAGTTTATTAGCAATGTGATTTATAACTGCTTGCCTGGAGCGAAATGTCATCACTTCGAATTCACCATCGTTTATTTATTTTCTGATAAATTTCAAGGTTTTATATTGTAGTAAGATTTTTCATTAGTCAATCTCTCTTGAAGAAAAATGTACCAAGAAAGTAATAGACTCCCGGGGAATAACTTTTGACACTTTGTTCTAATTCAGTTGTTAATCACCAAAACGACACAATTCTCTGAAGTAAAACCCATTGTTCATTTTGATAGAATTTGAAATCCTTTACCCTTGCGGTGTGTTTTAATTCAAGAGGTAGCAGCAAAACCTCCAAACACGGACAACGTATCTATAAATTCTGATTCATCTCAATTGAATGTCGAGTATCGCTGTTATCAACTTTTTCTTTCATCAAAAGTTCTGTCAGAATTATTTAATTATTCTTTTCGTTTTGTTTTATAGAAAGCTATTCTTATCAGGGTGGCCAGCTCTTCTGAAAAATAGGGAAAACTTCTCAATTTTGAGCACGTTTCTGATTTTTTCTGAATTCGGAATATTTTCAGATCGTTCCTTTGTCACTGAAATTAGGTACGATTATAACCCATTGCTATAATAAATCAATAGTGTTTCATCAATTTTCTGTATTAATCATCTTTTATATTCCGCATTCGAATTCTGGAGTAGAATTGATTTTCGGTCATATAAAGCGTTTATAATCCGATAATCGAAAACCAGATAGTGCTGAACTTAAGATAAAAATGAATGGTAATTATTCTTGAGAAGGTTTTATTAGCATACGTTATTTTAAACAAGCTTCTTACAGCAAATTCAAAAAGGTGCAAAATATGAATAACAATACCGAGATGATGGGATTAAACTTTTTTCTCTCGTTGGATTTCTTAATCTACGCAGAATGCATGTGATTTAGTTTTGCTCGTTTTTACGAACGAGTTTTAAATTTAAAAAGAAGCTCAACATTAAGTATCTTTTACTGATGTTTGCGTATTAGCTAAACGATATATTCACTATAGTTTTTTTCGTTTTATTTAAATATCTTTGAAAATAAAGTTCCAGTCAGTGAACCGAAATGCAGCAGAATTTTGGATGCCAGTATTTTAGCGGAAGATCTACTAATTTGCGAACAACTGTCATTTTCTGATTTTTCAGAGATATTTTCTGATTGTTTTCTGATTTTGAAAAAATATTTTCTGACTTTTCAATTTTTGATCTGGCCACTCTGATTCTCATAGTGTTAATATTCCTTTAGAGAATTAAATGAGACTTCACTGCGCTACGCCTCTTTTATTGCACTCGATTCATTTTTCAGAAAACAGGTGCAAAATGAAATATAAACACACAGAACAATAGAAAACGTTGAGTGCTTTCAGAAATTATACATAATTGCCCTTTTTCTTTTCTTCTGAGACGAATTCCAATAAAGCAGAAATTTTTAAATGCGTATTTTTCATATCTTCACAAAATGTTTTATTGATATATTTTTAACCAAAACAAGTGACTGTATTAAAAAAACATAAGAACGCTTTTTTGACTCTCTTCGAGGTAGGTGAATCGCGTTTCGACCAGCTTAAACGGGGTATTAGATATCGATGATCGGATTCCATAAGATCATACGAAGGTTCAATTTGCGCATTCAACTAAAACAAAACGAGAAAATCATTTAATGAATATATTTTATTGAATAATTAATTACTTCGGAATAATTATCAATCCGACCTAATTGGTTACCATCGTCGTGTATTGGTCTATCTCGAATATAGAATAGGCTTGATGCGAACGAATGATTTATTTGAAAAAGAAATAATATCAATAATAATGATAATAGCAATGTATTTCTCATGCCTAAAAAAATAAAAATTGGTTTTTTTTTGTTCTCTCCATCGTGTACACATCTCAAAAGCTTACTAGAGAAGAAATTGAATGCTTAATATAGTATAATTTTGTTTAAGATAGCCGTGAATCGCAAATAATTTGCACAAGATAACTTTTATCTGAAATTAATTCATATTTCTAGAACTCTTCTTCATAGGAAATGTAAAATATTATACTGCAGATGTGAACCTACACATTCAATTCCATGCGTATAACTATAATTTATAATAAAGCAGAATTACAAAAGAATAATTTATAATCATGAACCTTCTTTTCTCTGTCAGGAAACTTCTCTTTTTCTTCTTTTATTATTTCCATGGTTATTAAATTAATTTTGTGGGAGCAGAACAAAAGACTTTCTATACTACGCGACTTCGTACAATGATTAGAATTTTCTTCGTAAAGATAAATCGCTTTACCAATAAACATGATACATAATACAATTTATCTAGAATCTATGTCAATCATGTCTTATTAAACATTACTATAATGAAGAAAAAGAAGAAGAGATTTCAGTTTTGAATCACATCTTCAGTTTGAAAATGATTCTGTGACAAAAATTCAAGGGGGCAAAAGCGTATTTCTGTATTTCTAAATATTTCTGAATATTTCTACGCATTTCTATGGATTTCAATGGATTTCAATGGATTTCTGAAATACATAGAGATCCATCGAAATACGTAGAAATGCTCAGAAATACGCTTTTTCCCCCTTGCAAAAATCACATGCAGACAAATGAATGCCACATTGTTTAGATAGGCAGAAAGTCAGGCAGATGTTATCGTCGTATTTGCATTAACATCACATGATATTTAAATTGATAATTTCCATTTCTTTTAAATATCTCGTGATAGACATTTGCCAGACAATCGTTGATTTAGTTCTGAATATCTTATTCGATGACAGTTGATTTTAATTGATTGGCATCTAGAAGATAGTGAAGGTCTCGTATAAGTCTATCGCGTTTCGTGCCATTTAAAAATACTTGACAAGTATAAATCGTGCACAATATGAAATCCCCTATTTGATCGATGGAGATAAATCTATTCTATTCATCAACGAGATATAACGATTTATATCGCTTGTCATTCTTTCGATACGTAATTTTTTTTGAATCTAACTGATAATAAACAGATTTGATAGAAATGAATAAATGTTTGCCTTATTTGTTGACTTACCGTAGGCCTTCCCGAACTATAAATGGTTTTACATGGTCTATATATATCTATATATATCTATATATATATATAGATAGATAGATATATATAGAGATGGTAGATTGACCAATTATGCTATTTAAAAAAATGTCTTTTGTTCTTTGTGAATTAATAAAAATTGACATATCAGCAGAGGGCACTTTTATTCATTTGTCTTTTCAATTAGATTCAAGTGATTCTTAGGTTCAGGCTATGAATATCCTATTGATTCGAGTGTATATCATCAGGAAGAACAAAATCTCATCCAAGTAATTATGGTCTTTTTTCTAAGTAGAAAAATATAATTATTTTATGATCTTGAACAGACAACTAGTCACTTGAATATTATGAACTATTAATAAATTTTAATGCATAGGAAATTATTCGGCTTGCCCACGTAACGGTGTACTTCGCTGATCAAGTTTAAAAAACTTTTTTTTTATATAGGCAGATCTAAGCGTATTTTCTGGCACCGTCTTTTAAGCTGATTGTGAATTCGGACTTTTTTTCTTAAAAAGAATTGAGTTTCGGCATCGAAAGCTGCGTTTTAAAATTTTCAAAAGTCATATTTTCAATTTTCTAACCAAGAACTTTATAAAAAAATGCAGAGTAATATACCATTCGATACAGAATTCGATTCTCTACAAAATGGCCTATTAATGTTTTACTCTCATTCTTCAGACAACTTATAAGCTCTGGTACAGTTTCTAACTTACTATACAATTATTGAGCTCGTATTTCGATGGAGCAACCAGAGGCCGAAATCAAATCGAATCAATTTATTTTGAAGTCGAATCGAATTGATTCGTTTTTTTTCAGTTTCATTTGGCTATTCAAAATCATTTTCTTTGTTCTGGTGTTATGGTCGAGGGCAGTTGACTAGTATAAGAGATGACGGATGAAAAAGGACTTCCACTGTTTCTCTTTCTTTGTTTCTGTCAGTCGTGCTTATTTAATGGTCATCCTTGTTCTGTTCATATCGTTATCATGGTCAAGTGCATTTTGATTGGCATAATAAATGCTCACTTACAACGAGCGTTTCATCTTTCTTTCTGTTTTGGTTAGTCAATTTAGGCCCCAATCTCACTGAGAAGTAAATTAACATTAAAGTTGAATTAAGCCATGTGACTGGTGTATTATGAGCTAAGTAATACTTTAGAGGTGATTTTAACTCTTAATGTATCAATTAGATCACTGAATAAGGCTTTAACTTTATTCACATTTCCAGTGCGATTGGGGTCTTGATATCAACC